TATATATATATATATATATATATATATATATATATATATATATATATATAATTTATTTATTTGTTTCAAATGGCGGGCTGCATGATCTTATCATAAACCATTTAGCTGACTTCGGGCTTCACAGAGAGGAGGAGGAGGAACATCCAAGTCACAAAAAGTGGAGACGGGAAGTTTTTCAGTCCACATTTTGGAGTAAATGAATAGTATTTTGATGAGGAAGTCACATTTGACCTTTTACTGTGTTCTAATTGAATTTATTATTAGCAAACCGAAAGGCATTAATATTTTTAAACGCCAAATCGGAGTTGTGGTTAAAGACAGTATTGGATAGAAATGATGGACGAAACCCAGGGTTCAAAAAGACCCAATTATTCTTAATTTTGTTTCAGCATATTATTCACTTTATATAAAATTTAACATTTGGTGTGCTATAATACTTCTGGATCTAGACTACGTGTTCTTGAACGAGTGCCTATCCACTGTGTTATGGCCTAATAGAGCAGTTTATTAAAGACAAAGATGGATTGTATAAATGACTATTGATTATAATAGAAGCGAGTAAAGTTGTTGTTGCATGAAACTGATTGGTGGATCCGAGTGTAATTGCCGGTTTCTAAGGGTTAGAACTGAAATTCAGCACTACAGAATCTAAGTATTAAATAAGGTGTAGGTGGAATCCAGAATCTTTCCATATCCAAGATTATCAAAGAAGTTAGAAATAGTTAACAAATGTCCCTAAAGCTTAAATGTACTTGAGGTGGTCTAAAGTCAACACAGTGGGGAATGTTGATGTGCTAGCGACTTAACTCATCCTTTGAGTTTGAAAGTCCTAAATCTGTACGGCTATCTGTAAGGCCATCAGCTACGACTTTTTATCAGCAGTGCTGATTGCTAGCACATTGTGCAAAGCATAAACACAAATACCTTACTAACTACCAATCATGCTCAATGTAAGCAAATTAGTTTCGAATGCTATGTTTTACCATTTTAAAATAATATAGAAGTTAACCAGCATAATAAATCCTAAGTTAGTAATAACGTTAGTTTTAACAGCTCGTTTCATTTTGGATATTTGAGTCTGGTGGATAATTCGATGATACGATAATAATGCTTAATATTTTTAACGTTTATATGTGAATGGAACAAAGTATGCTTAATCAAACGACGGATTGGTTGCTAGTACCCAGATTGACCTCGTCATTGTTTATTTATTTCAAATAGCAGGCGTTTTGATTGCTATCATTTGCAGAGAGGGAGGAAGCACCATAGAGAGAAAAAGCCGAGAGGTGAAATAGAAGAGCGATTCACAGATGTAAAAGAGACAGACAGA